AGCACTGTAGTTCACCTCTACTATGTGGGGCAGTATATGAAATATGACACAATGCTGCGTTTTATGATGCTTTATTTGTAGTGCTGGGTTTGGAACCTCAATGCTTTTTTGGGACCAACTGAAATATATCTGTAGCACTTGACAAAAAAAAAATTAATTGATAAATTTTCTAGCAAAAATGCCAAACATTACCTAGTTCCAACTCCAATGTGAATTTTTGCTGCTGTTCTTTGTCTTATGTGACATCAAATGGAATCTTTGGGTTGTTTGGACAAAACAAACAATTTAGATTAAAACATTACAATGTCACCATTTCCTGACATTTTGTATACCAAATGACTGATGGATTTATCAAAAACAACTAATCGGCTGATTAATCAATAATTATTAGTTGAATTCCTGTTCTTTGTGAACAGTTTCCGGGTTAAAATTGTAATTTTAGCCCATCAAAATGAAAACCACTTGCTTTCAAGATGGCAGAAAACATTTGGCTAATAAAGCGTGGTGTACTAGAGAGTTGTGCGACGTTTTCATTTAGGTAGACTCGCACTGAAGCTCACACTAGTCTTCACCTTGCTGTGTGCGCTCTCATAGAAAGAAATTGTTAAATTTTTAGACTATATTCTATTCAGGCAAAGCTCTAGAATGGCTGCTTGTGTTTGGACAACATATTAAGTGTGAACACTGATTTTACACATCGTCTGTTCACAGGTCTTGGGGAGTACTACTGCACATGTGAATAAAGTTGTATAAAGCCTTTTGTGGCTTCAGAGGAAGTTTGATACATTGCCTCAAGTGATGTCACATGAGTCAGTGTAGGTTGGGGATGAAAACAATATTTAAATAAAAATTAAATAAAATCTGGGGATGTGGAGTTAGAAAGAAGTGAGGTAACCAGACCTCTGTAGCTCCTCATCTGATCTCGATCCACATTAGCTGCTACTAGCATCACACATGAAAATGTCCAACCAAACTGTCGCTAGTCGTGCTGTAATTTAGGTGGAATAATGGTTCTGCTACATCGATTTTGATCCTGTTTGTTTTTAACCGTCCATCAGGAGTGTGACAGTGTTATTAGGTGTGCAATACTAAGTTGACGCAGCATTCTCTTAACAGCTTTCCATTATCTGGTGTTGGGGAGAACATTTTGGGCCTGAGAAAGTGGATAGACCACAAATCTAGCTTTCATTAAGTATTTAAGTACAAATAAAGTAAGAAAATGTTAACACAATTTGAATGAACACAATTTTTAGAAGTCAGCAATTGTTTTCATGGCACAGCCTTTATTGTGAAGTCCGATTAGTAATTCCACAATGATGTCCTTTCTATTATTAAAGCCTAGATTAAATTCAGTAGAAATGACCTTGTATATAGTAAACTGGATGTAATGTAACATAATATTCATTTAACGTTCTCAGTAATGATAATAGCATTGCTTAGCTCTGTAGTTTACCTCCAGTGTGTGGGTCAGTATGAAATATGGAGCAGTGCTGCATCTTATGAAGACTGCTTTATTGGGCTTGTATCAAATGCAGATGAGAGCAGGATGCTGAACTCCTTCAAGGAGTGGGGAGGGGGGGGGGGGGATTTGTATTAGTGATACTTGTCATGTCTGCTGTAAATCACGCTGCTTTTTTTCAGGTTCCTGGGTTGTTGTTGTTTTGTCTCAGAATGCTGTGTGGCAGGGATGAATGGTGGTGATGTTACATTATCATGTGGCTGTCGCTTTCACTCCTGCTGACTGGTCTGTGACAGGCCCACACACACACACACAGATGTATACACACACACACACACACACACAGATGTATACACACATGGTTGTGTCAGGAGCAGTCCTGATATATTAACTACTGAAACCATAGATGACGTGTGCCCACACAATCAATAGAGAGCACAGCCACTGCCTGCCCCTCTCTGGAGTCATGTGATATGGACAAGCGCTAGGCAAAGAAGGACACACACATATATATACACTACAGTGCTGCGGAGTGTATTGCATTACTGTATTGATGGGAAATGGATCCAGTCCAGCGATGGCTGCTAGCTGCCAGTCAGAGGCAAGAAGGGTAAACTTTCATCATGGCTGTCAGGGACATCACTGCCGCCTTGTTTGAATGTAAATCTTCCTAATTGTGACAGAATACTTCAACATCATTAATTAAACATGTTTTCATTTAAAAGCACTCGCAGGGCACCAGGCTGGGTGCTCAGGGTAATCTGCCAATGTGCATAGCTGTGTATTTTTCCTATGTGTGTGTGTGCATTTTTGAGTGCTTATATATTCAAGTGCATGTTGGTGTTGTTGTGTGTTTGCGTGTGTGTGTGTGTGTGTGTGTGTGTGTGTGTGTGTGCGTGCACCCCTTGATTCTCCCCGTATGAGTGGGTGGCTTAATCGTCATGTTTATTTACACTCCTGTTGTCTGCAAACAGCAGGCAGTGTGGCGATGGGTATGAGCCAGCTCTTACGAAAGTAAAACAGCAGAAATTAATTTAGTCAATAACTGAAACAAAGGCTTATTCTTAGAATTCCATTCATTATTCAGGAAGCGGCTGGAGAATTGTTTATGATACGTATTCATTTTTTATGCCTTGCCTTTTTGCGTTTAGTGCCCCACATCTCAGGGAAGGAATTATACAAGAGCATGCACAAAGGGGAAGAGAGAAGAAGAGAGGAGGAAGGGGGGGGGGGGGAGGAAGCGACAGAGAGGGGAATTGTGTCCTCTCATTGTTCAATTAAGTCTGTCGGTAATGATCAAGATTAGATGATGGCCATCTTCCTTTTATAGATACTAATCTGTGACTGTCCATGGAATGAGGGAATCGCAGAACAGTATGGACTCCATGCCTTTGTTGCTACAATGGACTAGAAAGTGTGTATAAAAGGTTTCTGGTGTTATAATACAAGTGTTGGGAGCATGTGATGTATTGTAATAGGGGGCAACCAGAGGGAAGCTCTGTCAGGTGATTATGTTAATGTATAGTCCATGGTTGAAGAGTTCACAATGAGCGTTCTGACTGGCATTGAGGTCTAATCGATTTCATTGCTATTACTGAACAGAAATAAATAAAGCTGATGGCTGTGGTTAGGGTAATTATGCCACAGCACAGTGAATTGTTTGATTTTCCTTATTAATTGTATTTATTTAATCCATTTCATGCTTTTAGTTGTGCACTCGGGGACTTGGAGGGAATGAATAAATCACTCTTAGGCTCATTAGATTCCCCCTCTGGTTGGGATGTGCCACTATTTTGTCAGAATTAAATTGGCGAGTGTTATAATTTCCCGCTGGTGTGATTCACATGAAAAATACCCACATATCCACCTACCAGCACATGTGCACGTAACCCCCCCCACTCCAATGCACACACACACACATGCGTCTGCTCTCCATCTGAACTCGTGACCTTTTCCAGCCGTCTGATAGCCATTGACATTTGCCTCTTGAGCTGAGCTTGCTCACGTGTTGGAGCTGATAGGAATGGATGATGTTATTGCTGGTGGAGAAAAAGAGAGGGAAGGAAACGGGAGATGGTGGGTGGGGGTGGGGGGGTTTAAAAGAGGAGGGCCAGGGTAGACAAGCTCCCCATGCGGCCCCAGGAATCCATCTGGACCCCCTGCTCACCAGAAAGGTCACAGGGCGACTCAACCTTACATTCTCATTACAAAAGAGCCGTCGCTGTGACCGGAGACTGTGGGCTACAATATGGCTTTAAAGCTCTGTCACACAACCTGTCATTTACCCTCACTGTCTACAGTCATCAATCAAGAGACATCCACGAGATCGTCCTCCTGAAACATTTTGATAGATGCGTAGATTAATGTGTGTATGAAAAATGTTGTGGCAGCGTGAGCTTTGTCTTTGTCCTTGAAGACAGTGGATGGAATGGAGGGCCGCACCTGGTCGGCTGTTTTCAGCACCTCGGAGAAAAGCAAGACGCTTTGCTGCTTTACCAAGGGAGCCTTCTGGTGGCAGAAAGAGGCAGGGCAGTACAGCTGATCTTTAAATAAAAATAGCTCCAGAATAGCATATTGAAATGGTCAGCAGCATAGTTTTTGTGCAAGTTCTCAGAATATCTGTGTGTGTGTGTGTGTGTGTGTGTGTGTGTGTGTGTGTGTGTGTGTGTGTGTGTGTGTGGTTGCCTTTGACTGCCTTTGTTTATGTATACGTTAGGCTGATTTTGTGTGTATGTTGTTTGTGCATGTCCATCTCAGCAGGCCTGTCTTTGTTGTGTTTACACTTCACTCTCCACACCATGGGAGCTGAGTGTCAGTTGAGAGCTGAGCACCTGTAGGTGTGTGAATACATGCAGGTTCAAACCCACAAACAAGTGTGTGAAGAGACCTCGGTGTCAGTTGTAAAAGCCTCCTTTGTGCTGCTAAATTAAGATTACAACACTATGAATACTGAACTGGTGTTCCAGGTGTGATAATTTGGTAGTTTGGTATTTGTATGATACATGATGAGAAAAACATATTTTAAGTAGTTATCATATTTTCAGTGTGTGTCTCTTCATCCAGCGTTGGAAATATTTGATTTAGCTCAAATTCTGCAATCTTCATAACAGATTTATTCGAGCCAGGTGTCTTAGTATTAATATGCTGTGTCTAACTTGTGTTATTAGTTTGTTTTTCTGTTTAGATAGCATCTGACAAGACAATAAAGCTATCAGCCAGAACTAAACATCGTCTGAGCATAAAGAGAGCAATGAAAGATGAACTCTGGTGGAAGGCTGTGTTAATTTTTTTTTTACATGAAATGATAGCCAGAATCAATAAAATGATAGTTTTATGGTCCTGCCTAGCTGCCAGCCTCGGTGAGGCTGCAGGTTTTTATGGCACAGACTTGAACTATTAAAATGATGGCCATATTTCAGCGAGTTCACATGGTAGGCTGCAGCGGGAGTATTAGTCTCAGTCATAGTAAAATTCTTGCAATTCAGTCATTTTGAACATCCATGTAAATAGGGCTGTCTCGATCTTTTCCTGTTTTCTACAGTGCTCAGTATCCGTGGCGCACAGGAGGAGGAGCCTCCAGATCCTCAGTTGATGCGACTGGACAACATGCTGCTGGCGGAGGGCGTGGCTGGGCCAGAGAAGGGCGGCGGGTCGGCAGCTGCAGCAGCTGCGGCAGCTGCCACTGGCGGCGTTGGTGCCGACAACTCAGCAGAACACTCCGACTACAGGGCCAAGCTGACTCAGATCCGACAAATCTACCACACAGAGCTGGAGAAGTATGAACAGGTGGGGAGGAGGAATGTTGTGTTTTACCACCAGCTAGCCTGCTACTCCAAAATGCATTTAGCATTTTCTCAGTTATTATTATTCTGAAGTTTACTTCAGTTCCTCTTACTATAGCAGATATTCATATTGCCATTTTATTGAAGTATTTGATCATTAAAGGATCAGTGTGTAGGATTTAGTGGCATCTAGTGGTGAGGTTGCAGATTGCAACCATCTGAATACCCCTCCCCCCACCTCTCTCTTTCCAAGTGTGCAGAAAAACTTAGGGTCGCCTTCAGGTAATGTAAAAATGCGAAAGGCACTCTCTAGAACCAGTATTGTGGCTGGACATACAAACATAGTGGTGCTACATGGCGGGCTCCGTGGAAGAGGACCCTCTTCCTCTGCTGATATGAAGTGTTCATTCTAAGCTAACGAAAACACTATGAATATAAATATTATATTCCATTTCTGCCAATAGGTCCCTATAAATCCTACACAGTCTTAATTCAACCCCCCCAATAGGAGTATCTGCTATGTTTGTTTATTTTATGTTCCCTTCAAAGTCCATACTTGGGGGGATTCCTTGTTGTACCTCAGTGTTTTGACTCCACCTTTTTGAGCAATGTTTTCTTTCATTATTTCATGACAGAAAGTTCATATCAATGTCAATGTCTCTCCCCTTCCAAAATCCTCCCACTACTCAGGTGACGACTATAGAAACTACTGAAAAAGGTGGACATCATCTTGATGGTGGCTATGGATAGAGGAAAAACTTAAAAAATGTCAGTGATTTTAAATTGTTCCATTGTTGACATGCACAAATAAGTGGCTTGACTCACAAATTGCATAAAACGTTTACTGTCTTCTTCGTGGGGACAAACGATGTAGTGGTGATACATTGCACAGAAACCACACTCCTGACTCATACCTCTTCCAGGGGCAATGTTCAATAACTGACCCTGACCCCTGACTTCTCCATGTAGCGAGGAGCAAGCAAAAGGAGATAGGATAGGATAACAAAAATGTTACTAATATATGCAAGAAAAATAATACAGGATCGAGACTTGGCTTTTATTCTTCTTGTTATATGGAGTTTACATAGTCTCCCTCAAGTTCTTGTGTATCCTAATATGGTGAAAACACATCCAGTTTAGCTGAACTGAATACTCTAAATTGCCCATAGTTAAAAATGTGAGCGTGAACATTGCGTTTTCTTGCCCTTCGTCCAATGCATGCTGGAAAAACCTCCATCTGTAAATCTAAATAGGAATAAGTTGGTAGAAATGATTTTAACTAACTACGCTCTTGAAGTCAGCTCTCGCAGGCCAACTCATTACAAGCCAAGCTTTCAAAGATGTTGTCTTCAGCAGGCAAGCCGCCATTATATCAGTCACACACCAGCTCTTTTCCAAAGAATGTAACGTCTTGTCATTCCCTCGGAAGTCAAAGCGCTCTGGGTTTGTCATCTTCTCCGAGGAAGGCTAGTCATCGCAGACTGTCACAGTCAATACACACCTGAGCATTTTTGTGTCACCACGCTATGTACACCTCGCGTGCGTATGAGTGAGTAGTGTCTGGCGTGTGTGTGCAAGCAGAACGGCTGCTCGGTGCATCACTTTGACTGACGTAACCCTGGTGTTGACAAGCAACAGACACCTTGACTCTGAATGCAGTCATATCCAGTGACTGATTCAGACAGAGAGAGAACGAGGTAGACTGAAAGATGGAGTGAAAAGAGAGGGAGACAGTTTAAACCTCTTGAACGTTAACGGGACTGAAAGCCTGCTGTCATTTTAGATTTCTCTTCACTTGTCACATTTTCTCTTCCATTGAAGAGAAGTCTTTTAATATTCAGAACACTGCGAGTCTCGCTGCCACCACTGTATGACTCCAACACCACATTTGTTTGGCGTGAAACATCGCACTGTGTCTGCTGCTTTAATTTAGGCGATTCTTATTACCTCTAACGCTGCTGCTGTTATACAGTAAGCACTGTTTCTTCAAAGCCAAGGCCTACCAGTGAAGGTGCAGCCTCTCCAGAATCCAATTTCATCCTTTTTGTTCTGTCTTAAGCTGCCCAGTCTCCATGATAGTTCTTCTTTTTATGAATCCTGTCTGTCTGTGCATCCAGGCGTGCAATGAGTTCACCACCCATGTGATGAACCTGCTGAGGGAGCAGTCTCGAACACGACCCATCTCGCCCAAAGAGATCGAGCGCATGGTCGGCATCATCCACCGCAAGTTCAGCTCCATCCAGATGCAGCTGAAACAGAGCACCTGCGAGGCCGTCATGATCCTGCGCTCACGCTTTCTTGACGCCAGGTCTGTGTGTGTCCATGTGTGCAAGAAAATCTGACAAAACTATAATGTAGTTTTTAAAGCATGGTGCACCAAAATATTCTTTATTTTTAAAAGATCTTTTGTTGCCATTGGCCAGACAGATTATATTGTTTGTTTTCCTGAATTACTGGTTAAATTTCCCTCTTAATTTTCTATTTCTAAATGCATTTTACCAGTTGTTAATGTTCTTTAATGTTTTAGCAATGTTCAGACAAACTAAACTATCCTGGTTAAATGAACGTGCAAGTCAAGAATTCATCTATGTGTTTACCAAGTATTTTCTAAAAATTTCTATTGTGGCTGTGTCCTTTCTGCGGTCTGTCCAGACGAAAGAGGAGGAACTTCAACAAACAGGCGACAGAGATCCTAAACGAGTACTTTTACTCCCACCTCAGTAACCCCTATCCCAGCGAGGAGGCTAAAGAAGAGCTGGCCAAGAAATGCAGCATCACAGTGTCACAGGTAACCAGAATAAACAAAGCTCTTCACTTGCATTGTATGGTTAAAACAACATTATGCTTTTGTACGATTTGGCGCCCCAAACGTTTCAGAGTTTAATTCACCGTTTGTTAGAATTACGCTACGATAAAAAACTAGGAAGTCAACATCAAGCAAGTGTGACATAGCAATTTAGTCGAACAGAAAGGAGGCCAGCTCGGATTCAGTCTTGCAGCCTTTGAAGCTCTTGCCAAAGTCCAGCAGCCTCTTGCTTGGTTACTCTCTTTTTCTCTTCATTGCTTCCTCCGTCAACGTCCTCTTCGGTCTCTCCACCTCCGCCATTAGCTAATGTTACATCCAGAGAGGCTGCTGAGCCCGGTTATGTTGCCCTCTTGCCTAGCTCCGGCTCGACACTGGTGCCGCTCTCCATTAGCAGCAGCATAACGTTGCTTGAAACTTGGGTGGCAAGCAGGTCAACAAAGATCCAAATGCAGGAATACTGTAGAGCAGGTCTATGCATCACTGATCAAAGCATGCCAGCACTACAGGAACATTATAGTTGTTTCCATAAGGTTGGTTGAAAACAGTACTATAAGAATATTCTAATAATACCAATAGTTCTGACCGATGAATATTTAAGTTAAATTTCTATAGATTTTTAAAAATGTTTTTATTGCATTCTGTTGACTTGCATCACATATACCAAAACCCGATAATAATATTGTTGTTTCAAAAGTTGCAAGTTCACGTAAAAAAAAAACAACAGCCACAAAAGCCGGTGCAAAAAGGTGCTGTGCTAACTTGTCCAGGAAGCATAATCCAGGCTTACTTATTAGGTATTAATACAAATGATTTGACTTTCATTGATTTGTTTGCATAGATATCAGCTTATATTTGTTATAACTCCACTGTTGTACCTTTTCATTGCGATTTTGACAGGTATCAAACTGGTTTGGGAACAAGAGAATTCGATACAAAAAAAACATCGGCAAGTTCCAAGAAGAGGCCAACATGTATGCAGCGAGGACCGCAGTCAGTGCAACCAGCGTGTCTGCTCACGGCAGCCAGGCAAACTCCCCGTCAACCCCCAATTCAGCAGGTGAGCTGAATCGCATTTTGTATAATAGGTTATATTAAAAGACGCTCTACATAGGTGAATTAGAAAATATTATTTGTATACCAGAGCAAATGCACAAGATGTAGCACTGTAAAATTCTCGTACTTGAGCCCCAACTCAAGAATTCAGTCTCTGGTGCTGTTTCATTGAGACTGACAGAGGGCTCCTCTTCTCCTCAACTAACACAGTAATACAATGTGGCTCTCTTGCTTTTCTTGTTCCATTTTATTCTCTTTTTTCTCTGCCTTTGCCGTCTGTGTCTCTCACTCATTTTCCCTCTCTCTGTCTCTGTTATTGACCTCTTGGTCTTGTGGACGTTAATTTTTCCTGCCTCTTGTCCGGTTGACCTTGTGCATGCCATTAAGCTGCTCAGAGGGCAAGCGGAGTCTTTTGTCATATAGAGACTTCGCAACTGTATTGGATTAGGACCGGGTGTTGAAATCAGGTTACGCGATGGTCTCTTTACATCTGGGGAGCTGGGGTCCATTACAGGACGAAGACAACTCTTTGGGTCTTCCTGCAGATCAATTATTACTTCCTTAATGAAACACTAGCAGCACGGACATTTAACTACAATGTAATCCATAAGGCTTGTTTTAACTAGACATAAACAGTTTTATGATGATTACCTGTCTCATGCTTCTTGTTGGTTGATTTTTCCTTTTAAATTATTGTTCAGTGATCTTTTAATGTGCGCGTACTGCATCTGTAGCATGTAGGTTTGTAGAAAAAGCCTTTGTCATGATGCCAGCTGCCCTCCCTAACTAACCCACTTAATGCACTTGTGCTTATGCATGATCATTTAACTCCTTTTTCTGTTCCTCTCATCTTCCCTGTTCCTTTTTTTCTCTTATCTCTGTCCTACTCTCTTGCTCTCTTTCTTCTTCTCTGCCTCTGTGTATTCTCAGGTTCTGCTGGCTCTTTTAACATGTCAAACTCCGGAGACTTGTTCATGAGTGTGCAGTCCCTCAATGGGGACTCATACCAAGGGGGGCAGGTTGGGGCCAACATACAATCCCAGGTAGGCTCCTCTCCAAGCTTAGTGTCCTCCACGACCAAGAAGCTGAGAAACTCTTGAGATCGCATGTAAAACTAGTCAACCACTGTCCAGTCTGGGAGTGCAGATGCCCACAATAACTTGACCTACACAGTGAATCAGAGGTTATACTTAGCCTGAAGCTTTTCATTAATGTAGAAGCCATTGTCAGCCCACAGTAGAGTAGACGATTGCAGACAGTTTTGGAAACGGTGCAACACTCATCAGCGCTCCTGACAAGACTTAACATAGCCACTGGTGCACTGTGGCTCCCTGACATTGCCCCAGTGGACAGTGATGACCAGCACAGTGTTTCTGAGTGTTACAACTCTCACCATAGATTAAGGGATCACCACCCACGGTGATATTCTCATTTGGTTTTAGTGCTATTGGCATTCCTCCATCCCCTCCTTTTCTATTCAGATCAGCTCTCCAAATGCTTTAGGTCGTTCATGAATATGCAAAAGGGACGACCCTTACAGGAGGTAAAGACGTCTTCGGGGTTGGCCTTTAATTAGTGAAACTCATGTTCCTTTAAAAGGGTTATTTTTCTTAACGTGTCAGAACGGCCTCGCTCTCAGGTCTGCACAATTAAAAGAAAGCAACAAAAGAAAAAAGTACAACTTTGACTAAATTAGCCTCCTGAGTAGAGTGATCCTATTTGTTGTGAAATCCATATGGCAGGTGTGTTTCCATGCATAACCTGGCAGGCTGCTCTGCCAAACGCTCCAAAGCAGCTTCCCATGAATCTGTGACCGACATGGAAATGGTGATATTCCAATAAAAACTTAACAAAATAATGTAAGATGTGTGACCTCAGTTACACCATATTTTTGTTGGCAGCTACGTTGTGTAAACGCATTTCGATGTGAAGATTCATCAGAGCATTTACCATGTGTGGTAAAAAAACAAACAAAAAAACCCAAGTCTCTATGTCTGCATATACAGCAAACAATATTTTCAGTAGTGTGCAGCTACAATTCGAAGAATGATTTGTAAAGTATGTGAATTTAATGTAAATGCAAATTCATTCATAATTAGTTACTTCTTGTCATTTTTCATGTATTTTTGTCCTTTTGCGACGTTTGTTATCACGCTTGTTATAGCAGCCAAAATCATTCAGATTCGCTGTTTGTAACCTTTTCCTGTTTATGGTACCCTTTTACTATCAGACTGACCTTTCCTTGTGCATGGCTGTCTTTGTTATCCAGAGCTTTTGTCTGACCAGGCCTTTTGTCTGTGTGTCCCTGCTGTTCCAGGTGGATACCCTTCGCCATGTTATCAGCCAGACCGGAGGATACAGTGACAGCCTCGCAGCCAGCCAGATGTACAGTCCACAGGGCATCAACGTAAGACCTGTAAACAATCTCCTTCTGTCCTTCTCAACGTTTTCTTTGCTGTCTTACTGTGCAAAGATTCCCCAGTTGCAGGATGTGTATAATATTGTGTAATTCTGTGTGCACACTGGGATGCCATTTAGCAGAGCTTACCGAGGTTGGGCTGTTGTCCAGCCAGTTGCCCCCCTGCTCCAACTGTGCCCTAGGTGGCAGGCAATGAGGCAGCTACCAGGCTGAGTAGCTGGACACGCTCCTAGTCTGTCAGAGGATATTAGCGTTAGCGAGACACCTGCAGTCGACAGGAACAAGGACACAGGTGTCATCCTCCCTCCCTACGCTGCTCTCACATTGGCACGATAGGACAACTCATACCTCTCGTCCCCCTCCAAGACTGGCTTTACAAAAAAAAGTTCCCAGTTGCTAATTCTTAAAATAACTCCTTAACTAGCCTGTCGAAGGCCGAGACAGTTTTCTAGGTCTACTTGCTAGTCAGGGCAGGGCGGGACAGGCAACACTGGAGGCAGTGCGTTAGCATGTAGATCCATAGCGACAGGCTGCACAGGGCTGAACAGAATCAATACGACAGTCACAGGGACAGAAAGAGTGGGGCTTTGGGCTAACAGTCCAAGCACATTGGTCAGATCATTCATCCACAGGAACAGCAGCACTGACAGCCAAGCCTGCAACACCCCTCGTGCTAAAATAAGAATATGGAAGCCAGTTACAACATACAACAGGCTCAACTGGAAATAGGTGTTCAATACACTGTGCTGTTAAACAAATGAAAGCAGACACCATCTTTTTATAAAAAAAAGTGCAAAATCAAAACTAACCTCCAAATTAAGTGTTCATAGGGGGTGGTGATGGCGCATAGATAACATGCTTGCCTTTGGTGTGGGATACCTGGATTTGATTCCCACTGTGAGACATCCACCATTGTGTCCCTGAACAAGACACTTAACCCCTAGTTGCTCCAGAGGTGTGCGACCTCTGACATGCATAGCAATTGTAAGTCGCTTTGGATAAAAGCGTCAGCTAAATGAATAAATGTAATGTCATAGGAAAGTGGGAATTTAATCACTAACATTAGGAATCTATTATAAATGTCTAGCCCCAGTTTGTGCCTCTCATGAGTAACATATGAGTCACTGAGCTAAGCTTCCGATTTTCTGACAAACAAATACCTGGTGATCTTTAAAAAAGCCAGAACTTGACTGTAGTATGAACAAAGATGGCAGCCAGAAATCACACATCGTCTTGCTGACTTTGTACAATTTTTTTTACAATAGTATTTTTTCATCCATTTAGTCAGAAGATTCTTTGAGGTTTGTGGAAATAGCTTCAGAACAGCCGTATGTGTCGTTAAACAACCTTCTGGATTCTTCAAATAGGCAAATATAACGGTAACACATGAAAGAGTGGTCAAACCGGGGGAAATGAATTTCCTACCAAGCTGTATTTACCGTGAATCCAATAATTTTTCACTAATAAATTGTCTGAATTTAAATAATTAAATTAAGGATCTTTACAACAACCAGCAATAAAAGTTTAACCAATCAATGAGCCCACAGTCCTCAAAAAAAAAAAAAAACTTTGGTGCATATCTGTGGTGATGATGATGAGTCTCTTATAGTTATTTTTTAACAAAAACACACAATTGCTGTGTTTCAGTAAAGCTTTTGAATGAAGTGTTGGTCATTGGATTTCTTTGGCCCAGATAAATTTTTTTCTTTCTACGATCTACTGAACTCTCGTGGTTCACCTCTCCTTCTTTATTCTTGAACAGCAATTACATCCCTCAAATTGCTGGTGGGTGTCGCCTCTCTCAGAGACTGGAAGTGTTTTTTTTCTACCCCCCCCCCCCCCCCGCTTCTGAATAAGATGACAGACAGTCTTTGCGCGAAATAACAGGGTTTGGAAATAAGAGGCTGCCAAAGCATGTTCCCCAGCTCTCACTAATAGCGTGGAAATTGCAATTAATGTCCTTAATGGTCTTTGGTCAACCTTTTATCAAGATTTGAGAATGGCCTCCATTTTAAAAAGCTATTTCTTTATTGTGATAATTTATTCTTTTATCAACTGTCTCAGGGGTATATTCTGAGATGTATTAAAGGTCCACGTATTCTGAGTTTCATCTCTTCTGTTTATCTCACATTATGTCAGCCGTTTGGAGGATGAAATGAGGGAAGCGGCGCAATAATATTTATAATGAGTAATTAAAAGAGTCAGTTTTTGTCAGTTTTTTGATTATAAAGTAGCAATTGGACAGACATCACTGCTGTTGGTAACTTTCATATTTGCATTTCAAATTTAATATTTTAATTATGGATTTATGGAGTCTTTTCTACTTAAAGGACACAAATAAACCTACTCAAAACCCCTTCTATCTGAAATGGAAGCAATTTTCTGCATTCTGAATTGTTTTTAGAAAGCAATAGACATTATGTCTCAATACTTTTACTTCATCCCAAAGCCCAGTTGTTCATACTGAAGATGTAAATACATGTGTACTGTAGTTCAGCTGAGCATTGTAGCAAAAATGACTCAAACAGAGTACATACTGCATTTGTTGGGGACTATTTTCCCTCCTGGATTAATACACATTTGGTGCTCTTGTGAGTATTTACAGCAGCAGGATGGTGTACTGTATGTGGGATTGAATCAAAATAAACTACAGTGCTCATTTTTATTGTAATGAAGAGACACGTCACAGTGTGGCTCACTGATGTGTTTTTAATAGTTTTTGGACAACAATGGAGCTTTACAGCACAGAGGGATTCTTGTTAGGACTGTAGGATCAATTCAGTGTTTATTTTGGTCTTTTCATGGGAATTGCTGCCAGTAAGAAAAATATAGAATAGTGCCAGCCTTATCCTTAAAGACACATCTATAACATTATTGTATCACACAGTATAGTGTGTCACCATAAAGCTAACTATTTCCTTATCTACACAGACAAATGGTGGCTGGCAAGATGCTCCGACTCCTTCGTCAGTGACATCGCCCACAGAAGGACCCGGGAGCGTTCATTCGGATACTTCCAACTGAATATATCCATCTATACACCTCATCGACAAAAAAACATGGGACTGACCTTGCTGTTCACAGTATTAAACAAAGGAATTCTCTGCCCCGCAGTTTGGAGAGGTACTGTGAAATCCTAACCAGAAAAAAAGAAATAATATTTCCTCTACTTATAACGTTGGACATTTGGGATACGAACAAAAAGTTTCACAATAATAATCCAAACAATGCCGCAATCAATGGAGACGTTTGTACAGATTTCACATTATATTCAGAGGGCTGGGGTTACTTATTCACTCATGTTTCCACTCATAATGATGAAATGATATGATAAAGTAAATAAATCAGATCATTGGTTTTAACTGAAAATACTTCATTCTACCTCTCAGCCACAAAAAAAGTAGAAAAAATATGTCAGTGACCATTATTTGTTTTGTAAAAATGAAACTTTTGTCTTTGCAAGCAAGAGGCACATCTTCTTACGTACATTTTGTTGTCTCTCACCTATTCTATGGTACGCCATTTAGACTTAAATATTGCTCAGTTGTTTACAATGTGTGCTTGATAAAAGTATGTTCATCTTCCCCCCGCTGTCTCCGACGAGTCACAACAGAGTTCTGTCAGGAGATTTTACCTCTAAGGTAACCCTGTGAAGTATGTTATCTGTAAAACAATAAATAAATACTTGTCATCAAATCGGACAAGCTTGACATCATTCATTAAGCTGGAGGATAAATCAACTTAAAAACAAATTATTTTTCACCCTGTTGGTTCTGGTTCTGCAGCATATTGGTAGAGTGACAGTCACAGAATTGCAGGATTCTCTTACGCAATTACTTGAGTTCTTTATGATATTTTCAGTTGTGTTCCACCTCCACCACTACAAAAGAAAAGTTCTGATGTAAACCAAAACAAAAGAGTCAAGAAAAGCGTGTCAGTTATAATATAATGAGGTCAGTTATAATATATTCTTTCATCAAATACGTACAGCGTTATGTCTTTTCCTACTAATGGAAATCACCATCTTCTGTCATTTAGCTCTGGTGCTACAATCGAGTGAATAACATTGTCCCATTGAAAGGAATACAGGAAGAAATATCGCTTTCTGCAGAAAAGAAAGTTTGTCAAGGACGTCTGTAACTGAGTTTGTTTTTCAAAACATGAACCGCAATCCACTTAAACAGGGAAGTCATTATGTTAATAGAGTTTCACGTGCTTGCACAGTGGATCCTCGCTCCTGAATCGACATCACAGGTCCAGAAATGCTTCAGCATGGAGCCACTGATCATCGCCATTTAAAAGAAGCATCTGGATGTACCTGAACTGCTGCTCAACTCTAACGAGGACACTCTGATGTAAAGATAAACATAAACGTTCCACATTTCGATGAATTGTGTCCTTATCTGGGCATTTCTTTACGTAAAATCATTCAAGTCACTATATTATTCTGCTGGTACTGCTTTAGTAACCCTAGAATTGACACCAAAACAAATGTAGACATTTGAATTCATGCTTGTCTCAGTACTATCAAACTGATTTTTTTTAGTATCAAACATTTATGAACATTGTAAAATGTTGACCATTAAGCACTAAAGAAGGGACAAGTCATCATGTCAAATAATGTCTTTTCTGAGCAGTCTAACCTTGTTTATAGACACTTTTTATGTTGTGTGGCCTATTTGTTTTTTGTGTTTTGTTATTTTTTTTTAATGGTATGCTTAATGTAGGCTATTACTTTTTTGCTTTCCTACTTGTGAATTAGCCCATGAACTTTCAACATGTGTTTATGTGCACCATTGTGCTTGACTTGCTTTGTTGGAAAGGGTTTTCAACACATTAAAAAATGATGTAATACAGCGAGATCATACATCAGCATTTTTTTTTATTGTGGAGTTTTACGAGAGGGGAAAGACTTTTCATTTGGCTCTGCATCACGCAAAGGCATCAGTGGCACGGCGGTGATTGCACTCGCTGTTGTGATGACTGAAAGTCAACCAAGGTTAGTGACTGCCAGTAGACATCAACCCTTTTATGGCCCAGCGTGTGTCCCCTACCTTCCATTATGGCTCTTATCCAACATATTAGTGTACATGCACTCGGACAAACACACACAAACACATGCGCACTATACCAAATTCCAAGCGGAGGGACATCAGTGTCTCTGACAGAACAAAAGAAGGAAAGAAAGTCACTTAAAGACAGTGTTTGTCAGTTTTTTTTTGTGTGTTTTGACAGAGTAGCAGTTTGACATATATCCCTATATTTTGGAGAAGCTTTCATATTTGCATTTCACTTCAGGATTTTTTTGTGGTCTTCTTACTTTTAAGAGTGAACAAACCCATTATATTTTTATAAAGAAATGCATGCAGCTAGTCATGACCACAGTGATGCAGTATGTTATTCATTTTAATTAAAGGATAAGGCTGGTTATAATCTATACTGATGGTCAACAAACTCCATGAAAAGACTATGACAAAAAAGTTGTCTATTTTCAGCTGTGGATTAATACACATTTTGTGCTCTTCTTGTGAACATTTACAGCAGCGCCCATGTTCATCATTGATGATCATTGATGTGTGAAGACTTTTCTGACAACAACAGAGGTCAATCGCTCAAGGAATGTTCAAATAATTTGTATCAAACTTTGGTAAGAAAGAAATATCCAATATATTGTATTTAGGTCATTATACAAAATCTGAGTAACGTCCTTGTAAGATCCTCCCTTCAAACACTACAAGCAACACGGCTGACGCTATCTGGCTGGACAGTTGCATGTCTGACAGAATTACTTTCATAGCAGCTGAATATTCATAATTGGCCAAACAACAAGGACGAGGGTATAAGGGAGCAGTTGGCTAGTAGAGTCTGCGTACGGTCACAGGCCTTGACTGCTGAGCGAGTGTGAAATGCCAAAGCAAGACTGCTCCCCTGCGCCTGGAGGGCAGCAAAAGAGCCGGCCTGTTCTCACAAAACAGTGAGGGCATCAAAAACAATCTGACAAGACTTCGTCCAACCCCCTCTACAAACATCTTATGCTCTGAGCATCACTCAGTGCTGGACTCTCATGATCATCAAATCAATCTGAGACAAAAACATCTTGTGAAATAAGAATTTTTGAGAGATTTTGTCATGCCATGTCGTTTTTACACCTCCTCATTCCTCAGGAGTGGTGACACTGTGCAGGCTGACTGAAATCTAATGTTGCTGTTGACATCAGCCTCCCCAGCTGTCATTGTACCACTGTTTATAATTACAGCTGCCGAAGAAGAGGATGGGTGGGTGGCCCAGACACCTTGCCTCCCCCTCTCAACAGAGCCCAGCAGACTGCTCTAATGTGCAGTGACACAATAGCCCAGATCCCGCTGCTGCTGCTGCTGCTGCCTCTGCTGCTGAACTAACTGACCACATGAGTCCCTCGACTGTTCATCCAAAATCCACTCACTTAGGCACAGTTAGTCACGCAGACACAGATTATTATGTGCACAGGAGACTGGGTGTGGCATCTGGATCTCTAAAATTACAGGCCCTGAACTCTGTATTTATTTTCTCTTGTTTTGGCAGATAAGATGAGGTAATGCTTGAGAATGTTCAAGAGGGTGTTGAATCAGAAATATGGAAATATTAAATTTGATTCCATATGATTTGATTAGAACAAAAGCAGTGTACAGAAGGACCAGAAGTGCTTGTACCTCTCCACAAGGTGGCGATGTTAATACATTTGGTGAAAAACTTTTATGTCATCCACATGTTAAATGTGGTGTTTAAATTAAGAGGAAGGTGAATTTTCTACTAGGACTGAAATGAAACTAGTCTGCTAGTATACTGCTTATCTTGTGTTTTCAGTTACCCTTACATAACTGTCCCCAGGATGGTGATGTAGCCTTCTGTTTGTCTTTCCTGCTGATCTCTCTTTTTCTTAGTCTGTATGCCCATGATGCAGATCATTTTAATCCTCACATGTTTTGTGTATGTCACTGTCTTTCAAAAACAGTGATAGTTGAATCATGTCATTGTTTGAGGTAATTTGTTCGGTACTCTGCATGTAAAATAGTTAAAATTAGCTCCAATTTGACCGTCTACGATATTAAAATGCTGCTTATGTAGGAATGCCTCAGTAATAATATTCTAATAATACACATAGTAAAATAACCCTGAAAGGGGCCATTCTGCATAATGGCCATTTTACTGTTAATACCATTTTGCTGATAATAGGGCCTACCATTGTGGTGCTTTTTCTTTCTTTTTAAGAATGCAAGACTATTTCTTGTGATTAGGTATTCTTCTTTTAGCCAGTGGTAGAAAGTAACTAAGTACATTTACTTCTACTTACTTCTGCTACTTTCTACTTCTACTCTATTAGAAACTGTACTACTACAGATACTGTACTTCTACAGTTATTTGATAACTTCAGATACTACTTACTTTGCAGACCTGTTGAACACTGACACCCCCGGTACCTGGGGCAGCACACCATCGTCAAAACCGCTGACTTACTTTTGCATTTTCATGTTTTAAATTAAAAAATCAGCTGATTTGTTGCTAAAAATATCTCCTGGCGCCATCCTGATTATTGGCAATACCTGGGAGTTGTGCTTGCCATCTCTCGTCTTTTTCTGTAGAGCAGGAGAAGTGCCGCTATGGAACACGCGTTTTTTTTCGCTGTCTGGTGGAGCAGACCTTTCATTTGATACATCCATGAAAGTGTCGGACTTCAGTTAGAGCGAGTCCTATACTGCGCTGTGATTGGCCAGCTGTGTATTCGGGTCGTGGCTTAGCGAAGGGTTAATTGCGTTCCAGGTGCATTAAAAGATATTCAGTTGCATTATGATAAAGTTATATCTGATGATGGTTTTGATTCAAAATATAGCTTTTTTATCAGGCAAGGATGAAAATATCATATTTGTTTCTTTATTGCATCTCCATTTAGTCTGTAATGGTAAAATAAATATATTAATTTACAATGGAAATTACCTTTCAAAGAGACCAGAATTATGCATCTAGGCCAACTGGTTGAGAAGTTATTCCCCATTCATTTTGGGTATGTTATTTTAGGCGTTTTTCTTGGAAATAGCGGCAAATAGCTGGCAGCCCCCAAAAGGGTTATATTAATAATATAAAATATAATCAACAAATAAATTATTATGTAGCCCAATGTTAAAGAGTGACATAAAATGTTAAATTTAAACATAAAGTACATAAAGTAGCAGCCCCCTTTAACATTAAAGTGATGTGCACAGTAAGACATCAATAATTATAATACAGTAATACAACAAGTTCTGAATACTTCTTCCAACACAATTACATGAAATGTATTCAAAGTTTTTCTGGTATATGATATAAATCCTCTTCAGAAACTACAACTCAAAACAAACAGCCATACAACAAAAAAAAACAACAACCCGCAATACAATTAAAATGACAATCATTTCACACATTACAACTCAGCTTTATAAGTATACAAAACAACCAGAATGTAGGCTATCCATATATTTTAAGAGTTCATCTGGAAACTCCTTCTATGATTTCATATCAAGTGTGAAGAAGAGTTTTCACTCTTAATGGGAATCATTTTGAGGAGTCTACCTGGTCCCCACCTCCCCTGTTATTCTTCCTACTAGCCAGAATAAACTGGTTGCAGAAAGTAAGTGCAGCGTCGCCCCTGGCGGCGGCAGAGCTGTATAACACAACACAGAGGGACGCAAACTGTTGGCGTCGTGGCCAACAGTGAGCATTGCTTCACATCACATTTATGTTTCAGCTCCTCCTCTCTACTTTCCTCGGACAACAGCCCTTCTTGTGTCGGCGGAAAACAACATGACAGACGTTGCCGTCCAATCCGACGGAAGAAGCGGCGGGATTGTGGTAATTAAATGAAAAAAAACAGACAGGGAATGCAGGACGTCTGCATGGCGTCTACAGCGTAGGAAAAAGTTTCCTCATTCACGGATACACAGGCTCGACTGCTGCGCACCCTATAGATGATCTTCCTTTCGAGCCACACGTGTGATCTGCTGCAACTTAGTAATAAAGTTCGTGTTGGGTGTTGTTTGATGCGTACTGTAACATAATGTTTGCTTGTATCTCTACCCTACCAGATTAACGATGACTGGCCAGGCTACAGTTTAGACCTCTTCAGCTATCCAGCACACTACTCCGGAGATTTAGACTGTGTCATGATTCCGCATGGCGTGATTATGGACAGGTACAACACCAAACTAACTCAAATCCTGGTGCCTAACAAAAACCGATTGAGCGGCACAGATGTTTCCGATGAGATTCCTCCGAGGATGCTTGAAGGCTATAGCCTACGTGTCTTTTGACAGATCTGAGAGATGTGGGGAAGATTTAGGGATATCACTGTGGTGTGGTATGAAACTTAGGGATTTTGGCTCATCTTCTATAACAGGATCACTGTAAAGCTCTGTAACTTATAACAGACTTATAACATAAAGTATTCTGAGAGCCCTAAGCCACACAATCCCCTTAATGTCATTTTGATTAAATTTATAGAAATTTTAATGTGCATCTGAATCTTGAGCTGCATCAAAATGCGCAGTGCAAGACTAACATGGGGTAAATGTGTCGGATAATATTTCAGTCAGGGGCAGTATAAGGCTTTGTGATAAAATTGAAATTAATATAAAATATGAATACTATATATTATATAATCACTATCATACACTATCATGAAGTTAAAATTTTTGAGATAGCACTCAAACTTACAAGGAAACAAACAACAAACAGGAGTGCAAACATGGCAGATGTAAACAGCACTTTCCTTTCCTGGACAGATTGTTTAACTCCTGGAAGGTGTGTTAGCCGATAAACGTGCGTCACCCACAGCCGTGAGCTCAAGTCCTGCAAGACAAGACCTCAACGTTTCTTTGGAGAAATTTTCACTTTTCGCATTGTCTACAGAACCGAACGTCTGGCCCGAAACATCATGGACGACCTGGGGGACCATGACATCGCTGTGCTGTGTGTGCTGAAAGGAGGCTACCAGTTCTGTGCCGACCTGGTGGACAGGATCAAGGCTCTTAGCCGCAACTCCAACCGCACAATCCCCATGAGGGTCCACTTCATCCGTCTCAAGAGCTACCTGGTGAGTCTCTGCCCACTGCTGCACAGACAGCACTCGGGCGCTGACAGTTTGACCTAAGTGGCATGTTTGACAATGGAGAAGGCACTCTTCATGCTTACGATTATCAGTCATGTTGAGAAGATGTGTGAGGTGTGATTTATACAACGTTATGGCAGTGGTATCTTTGTGTAACTTGAATGTTCTGTTTATGTGTTGACACCATGAAGCCCAGGAAAAGGAGAAAAATACCACCACAGACTTTGAAATAAATATATTGATATTATGTGATGGGCAGCTACTGCGACTTGAAAATAGCAGTAGGCTGTATTGCGATTTTTATAAGATTTCAATTAATTGTTCAGCACTACAGCACATCTAAAATTTCTGTATTTCCTTAGAATGACCAGTCGACAGAGGATCTTCACATACTAGGAGAAGAGGATTTGTCTTTTTTGGCTGGAAAGGTAATATTTTTTTTACTCCACTGAAAACAGCTTGACTTTTAATAAAGCAGTCCAGTGAAACATTATTACAGACTCTATTACAATAAATCAAGTGGCATGGAGAGGGTGGGTATTGATAGATGGTAGCCTCAAGAGGGCAGCCTTCCCTCTAATCTGCCATCTCCCTCTCCCTCCTGAGGAAATGGTTCAGTGCTTCCATCAAAGATGGCAGTCTCTGACAAAGCCAGCGGTGATCAGATACCAGCTGTTGTAATGTAATTGTTTAAAGGCCACTTTATCGCGGTGGAAGCAAAACGTAAAATCTGTGTAAATGGGAGGATATTCTTGCTATCATAGTAGATCAGGAGGATAAGAGCGGTCTAGTTATTACAGGCTCACTCTTCATCTGCTCCAAATTGATACAACTACTGGGATAGTCTGTATATGTGTGTGTGTGTGTGTGTGTGTGTAGGTGTCTGTGTGTGTCTGTACTCAACATCATTTAAAATGAGGGACAGCCTTCCATGATTTTTCAAGTATAAATTAAGGCAACAATGTGCTCACCATTACTGGGGTGGATACAATTTACTATAGGGGAAATTTCCAACCTTATTCCCAGTCTGGTGGTGGTCACGAGATTAATTGAAGGGGTTGAGAGAGGATTTTCTGGTATTTGAATAAGAAAAACACACAAAATGATCTTTACTTTTGATACTTCTCTCTAATATTTGTTTTTTACTTGTGAAATACTATAGAGTTTTACCTCTTCAAGCCTCTAAAAGTATTCAAATGAAACAATCTGAGAATAGAAAATCACTCTTCCATTGATCTTCTTACAACTGATAGACATGCTCCCAGTGACAAGGAATAGTAAGTAGACTTAGCTAGTCACAAGCAAAAAGGGTTAAGAACGACTGGTATAGACAATTATACTTGTACAGCCATGTACAGTTCATAAGTTACAACTCTGTTTTGAAAGTAGAGTGGTCCTGAAGTGCAAGACATGTGACTGTGCTTGTGTGGGTGTGTTTATGCACAGGGATGAATTACTCAACCACCACTACAGGAGTTCATAAGTCAGTGAGAGTATTTCTAGGTAATATAAATCAGCTGATCCGAACACTCACAGTGACACAAACCCCTCAGCTGAGCTCACGCATACACCCCCCCCCCCCTACACACACACACACACACACACACACACACACACACACACACACACACACACACACACACACACACACACACTAATATGCCCTATAGCCAGGCGTGGCATTAATGCTTGAAACATGAATAGGATATGAGGTAGTAAGCTTGAGTCATTGCCTGCTGCTTTACTCACAGTATTTTAAGTGTGCTTGTGAAATCCTTGAGCCCCCTGTGATGTAAAACTAAATTTAGGCGCCTGTTTGTGATCTTTTACTGGAAGAAGTGAACTAATTGTGTGACAAGGAACGCATTGCATAGTTCATGTTACGCCTTTGCTTCCCTACAGTGGACCTGACAGACAGTAGCTTCCCCTTTCAGCATGGACTTTAAATACATAGCTCAGCTCCCTTTATATTTCTCAAGGGCTTAATGCACTCTGAATACATCTGTATGAATAATGAGGCCTAAACAAAGTCATGACCGCATGCGTGGCTGAATCCTTTGTTTGAAAAGTAGAGTAAACTGCAAACAATTACATGGCAGTTAAAAAGTTGTTGTTTTTTTTTATCTTGACCTAGCTAAGTTGAACTGAAGCGTAGATTGTGACTCTTAATATAAATAGTGCCCAGTTGTCTCCAGATGATTGGACAAACATTTGCAGAATCTCAGCTATTTCAGTGTGACATTTAAAGAAGGGCTGCAGGGACATAGGTTTCAAATCTGGTAGAGGCTGACATTTTTCTGTTGTGTTCATTTCCTTGCGTAATCACTGATATCATAAAATGTAATAAAAACCTTACTCATGTGGCGCTTGCTTTAATAAATGTCGGCCCATGTTTCAACACTTCTGCTGCTTGTTATCTGCTCCTAACCAGGAATAACTGTTTGCTTCCCTCCCTCTCTTCTCTCCCCAACATGTTCCCATAAGAACGTACTGATTGTGGAGGTGAGTCAACCATGTTTTTTGCTTCTCTCTTTTTCCACTTCACCAAATAGGCCTATTGTATTTCTTGCCATGGTTAGTTATCCAGGTCAAGGAGCCATTTCAAGTTTTATACTCTTCTACAGGACTTGCGTTTAACTTTTTTTTTTAATTGACTGACCTATATTTTGGAAATAAGAGAGCTGTTTTTTCCAACATGATTATAAACTTTCTCTTGTTAGTCCTGCATTGGAAATAGGTGCACAAGGGAGGAAATGGCAATATGGTGATTCAGTGATGGTTACTTTACTGTATGTAGAGAACGCATGGTTAAACAATTTGAAACAACAGTCAGTAGTCAGTTATGTGAATATACACTTGTTCATGGCTACTAGTCTTGAATTTTCTTTTAATCTTTAGCCAGTGTGACAAGTGCCGTTTTACATATTGCAGTTTTACCAAGCATGAAACAAATTTAAAGCTGCTGCGATCATAATTTACCAAATAGCAATGGATGAAATGGCCATAATGTGAAAGAGGTTGCTCATAATGATATACCCAAAGAGAAGTATTACCAGTTTCCCACGGCTCTTCGGAGCATTTTCTTTCAGCTATTGGATCAGTATCACCGCTCTCAACACTCTCACTTGTGGTGTTTTCGCTGCTGCAGAAGGCTGCACTGTAGTGTATACAGCAACAAACGGCAGACGGACAAAGTCTGCGGCTAGCTGGTTGGAACATTAAGCAGCCAAAGAGTTTACAGCTTGTTGCACTGCCGCCAAGTGGCAAAAAAATCCCAGCTGACATCGGGTGAAAGGCGGGGTACACCCTGGACAGGTCACCAATCCATCGCAGGAAAAATCTAATAATGCAGTTTAAGCACTTCAGACAATTTACTTATACTTTTTAGAATTTTCTAAAATCAGCTTTTTCATTTTTGATGGTAACATTAAACTTCATGTGGATGGGCAAGAACTACACAGTTTAGTTGGGATGATACACCTTTTAAGTTTTTTTAAGCCTCTTTTTTTATTTCAGAGGGATCTAGTGTGGCGTGAACCTATACTGAAATGGTTTATCACAATGACTAACTGGCTCTTGAAGGGTGACCACATGTGAGTCATGGCACTTTTGTTTGTGTAAAGTTTTCAACACACAAACAACTTAAAGTGCTTTACAAATAGCACAGTAGAACATCATTTGAAAACAAAATGAAAAGCAAAATTTGTAGTGTTAGTGTTTTATACTTCTAAATGAGTACGATTTAAGTTAAGAAACAGCATTGTTCATGAGCAACAAGATACTTTAGTGCTCTCTTCACCTGCTCTTACCCTCTGCTCATATCGTGTCACAAGGGAAAAATGTTTAGTTGTGAGTGTGTAAGGACAATCCATTCTCTATGAAGGGCATGTTGACCTACATCTGCATGACAAAGCAAACTTCTGTGGCTTTGTTCCACCACTGCTTTTACCTCTTTCTAATATAACAGGTCAAAAGAATATTTGTGTAAAACATCACATATTCGTTTTTAAATTCACTTTGTCCCGTCAAATAATTCTTTAGAAAATCCTCATAAACGTTTATGTAATACAAGTACAGTGTGATCAGCTTCTTCACTTTTACTCCAGTGTGAGATGAAGTGTTTTTTGCCTGCATTTCTGTATTGGCAGTCTCTTGCTTTCTAAGTCTACTTCTTCTACCTTTCCCTTTTCAGGCCATTGTAGGCACCGGAAAGACAATGAAGACTCTCCTGAAGCATGTTGAAGCCTTCAGGCCCAAAATGATCAAAGTAGCAGGGTAAGTAATGGCTACAAAGACCTCAGAACAAAACCAGCCCAGTTGTCCTGCTTTGTGAATCACCCACTTTCCGCCTCCCAGTCTAGACAGCGCGAGAGACAGAATAAGTCATGTAGATTTCAGCTATTACTGTTTTAAAATTAATACTTCCCCCTTGACGGCCTATGCTACAGGTGGAAAGGAATTGTATAACAAAGTGTCTGCTTTTATTTTCTCCAGATTGCTGGTGAAGAGAGTGCCACATAACTCAGCATGTCTTCCTGACTGTACGTACCTGACCAGGCCTTTTATGTGTTTATGAGTCAGTGGTTCAATCACTTTAAAAACAATTGTCGCAGCTTGTCAGTCAATGAGTCAGTGGGCTGTGGAAATACTTGCAATTAAAATTCCACTTTGCCTTTGATTTCAGATTTTGGCTTTGAGATACCCAATCGGTTCGTGGTTGGATATGCTTTAGACTACAATGAGTATTTTAGAGACCTAAATGTAAGTCAGTGCCTTTTTTATTTTAGACAACAGTGACTCTGTTTAGAGGAAGAGCTCAGAATGAGTATGTAGTAACACTGACCCTCACACTGTACGTGCATCAGATAAAGACATTTTTGAATGGGATGTCATAACTGCCTTTTTGACTGTTTTCTTTCTTTTTAAGCATATCTGTGTGATCAGCGAAAGTGGGAAGATGAAATACAAGATTTAAAAGAAGGACACTGTCACAGTCAAGAGAAGAAAGCGACTGTCACACGGATGCCATCTCATAGCAAACCTAAACTTTTTCCCTGAGATGCCATTCACTTACAGCTGCTATCGTGACATTTGATCTCAAGCATCCCGGTTTGGTCATAACATTCCTTCTATGAAACTGTATCTGTTTTAACAATAGACAATGGTAAATTTTAACAAAGCTAGCTTTACTACGTTTTAAAGTTTCCACACCTTATTCTTCGGGTATACAGAACTGATTCACATGTTTAATGCTAGGGCACTGCTACTGTTTGACTCTAACACAAATGCGCCTCAGTTGGATGCAATGTAAAGAACTTGATCATCATGCACTGTGTGAATGTTATAGATGTTTTTAAGTCACTGTGAAGAAGCAACAACGGAAAGGGAGCTGTTTTTTTTTTTAGGAAGCTAATAATAGTTTTATTTTTTTTCACCTGTTCATTGCGTTTTTGGTGTTTCATTAGGTAGTTCTACTGCTGTCATCTTTAATGCCAAGGGGCAAACAAAGTTGTTTTGTGAACACCAAGTGCGCTAACTACCTCTTTTCGTTTTTTTAGTATTTGAAATGTAGCGGGATACTTTTGTTATTTCTGTATTTCCTTTTATGATTTAACACATCAATAAAGTATTTTTAACATTTCTCTGCTCTGTGTTATCTACCACTGTGTTATTGTCACATTCTCTGTGGACTTTCAGATGTTGATACAGTTTGTTTTGTTGAAAGTGGTGTCTTGTTTGAGCTTACACTATAGAAACCCCTATACAGTACAAAGGAGGGCTGTGAGTCATCGAAATGTGTTGAATGGCAAGTTTTAATAATTTATTTTTATACAATCCTTGCGTGTTTTAAGCGCCCTGAGCTACTGTGCTGATGGTAAAGATAAGAAAGCTGCCTCCTCTAGGAACTCCTCAATTTCCAGAACTCCTAAACCAGTGTGATTGTATCTTTCTGGTTTTAAGACAGTCAAATACGGCATCCTGAAACATCAGGTTACCATTGTTTGGTAAAAACAGATAAACTTAAAATGAACTAGTGAAAGGAACAAAGGGGAATCCGTTGTGTTGAGCTCATGTGCTCTTTGTATACACCTGACATACGACTCCCAGTCTTAAAGTAGAGAACAGTAAGTGCCACACAGACAAAACCGTTTTTTGTTGATACTGAGGTCTGCGGATTACAGTGAATTAACTCTGACCTTTTAACAGAATTTAGCTCCAAGAATGAACGACTTGATGAAGCACTCCAACAGAATTACATTATTTCTTTTTGCTGGTAGTGGAATAGGTATTCAGATCCTCTAACACACTGTAAGAATACTCCATTATAAGTAAAAGTCCTGCTTTTAAAATCTTACTTGAGTAAAAGTACAGAAGTATTACTTAATGTACTTAAATTATACAGAAATGTTCCCCTGTGAATATCATTTAAAATAATATTTGATTATTATTACTGATGTCTTAATGTGTAAATACCCTTTACTGTTTTAATGGTGTTCGGTATTTCCCATTTTTAAACAATACGTCAAATTTTTATAAGCTGACCATATGTTTTGTATGTGATATCTGAACCTGCAAACAGTAACCATAGCTGTCAAGTAACTGTAGTGGAGGAAAAATAACGATATTTTCCTCTGAAATGTTGTTAAGTATAAAGTAACTCAAATCGAAACACTCAAGTACAGAACATGTATTTTGAAATATTACAGTGCTTGGTTAAATATACTTGCTTATTTTCAACACTTTTTTGGGAAGTAGTTCAGAGAAATGTTCTGTCTGTAACATTTACAAGTATTTTTCCACAATAGCGCTCCTGGAAGTAGAACTGGCTGGACAGGACAGCTTTGTGAAAGTCTCCTCCCTTAACTGACCTCTGAAACAAAAGCTGCCAATGCCAGGAACAGGTGGTCCCTTATGTTGGAGAGGAATAAAAGGGACATTTGTGAAGTCCCTGAGAATCTGAAAATCTATTGTAGTCTACAGCTACAATCTTTATAAGATTGTGTGTAGTAAATCAAGTCAATGGAAATATTTAATTTGAATAATCTGCCTTGCAATGTCAGCACTATGGGAGCAAAGATTATATGCAGTGTGGCATGTGAACTCACATTCCATATCCACTGCAATTCCTTAATGCCAGCCCTGCTCGACCTGACTTTCATCCAGGACATGTGACTTCTCGTTCAGCCTTGTTGTTTATATGAACGAAAGCTGGTACAATTGTGAAATAGCTTGAAAGTGGCTTCTCACACATTGCGTCTGTGCTACTTCTACTTTGTCCCCGTGCTCTCCTCGACTCCTCGTTGAAACGGTTAGAAATCACCACCTTCAACAGCGCATCGGCGACTCTTTGTAAACTCGCACCTGATTGGTCCGGCCACATGCAACGCCGCTTGTGATTGGTTGAGAGTGTCCTGTTGACCGAAGGTGGACTCCCAGAGTGTCAGGAACGCTGAAAGCAAAAAATTCCTGTTTCTAAACGGCACCATGCGCCTCCCCTGAGTGGGGTTTGGAATAATCACCGGGAAGCCGTTTGTACTCAAACTATATTCAATTATGACAACGCCTAGCCATCTTGAAGCTCACATGCTATGATTTTACTTTGTTTATTTACATTTATGGACAACCGCCGTCGTTGCTGCCCGCTTGTATTGACGCTTCGCAACTACACAGGTAACTTTGTTTAAACTCCAGCCGTTAGCATGAATGCTAACCGCAGCGCTAGTAGCTTGTTGCCGCAGTTTGGCTGTTGCTTTTGCCCGCTTTACAGGTAGTGTTCGCTTAGTATATAACGTGGGAATCGTCCTTTAAAACTTTTTTTATGCTGGTAACGTTATTTTCTTAAAATTAACGAAGTAAGAGCTACTTTTGTTGGTCGCTTGAAAACAACAGCTCGACACTCTCTGTACGTGCCTCAGTTGACCATCGATCTCAAACAAGAGGCATTCAAATTCACCGTCTTTAAAGGTTAGGTAGGTTTTATTGTCGATATACAAACATTATTATTAACTTAAGTGACTTGTGCTTTATAATCCCAGTTCTATGTGATTTTTGTCATTTAATTTCAAATGGGAAGGATCTTTATTTTTCCCGTCTTTAGTCCACTTGTTGCTGGCCATTCATTATGCAGTGTTGACTATCCACGTTGTTGTGCTTCAAGCTGTTGACAACAGGCCCAAATTGTTGTTGAGTGAATAATGCAGAGATAGACTATGTTGTTTGTCACCCCACTGGATTGAGCATGCCCACAAATTGTAAGGTGATATAACAAAGATAGCAGCTTTATCTGATTCACATTTCATCATAAGGGCTCAGTCCAAGTCAGACTGTTTTCCAGCACGTCAGTTTAAAGCTATCATGTACCTTAAACAACTGAGTTATGTTTCATGTTGGTTAAAAATACCTTTGTACATTGTGAGATGTCACACATTAGTAGTTAATGTAAAATACATGCCTGTAATTCAACCAAACAAAATGCAGTTATAACATGTCTCTGTGCTCCCTCTCTATAACAGATGGACTAAGAAATCAAGCAAGAATGGAGGTGTAAATTGGACATTGGATTGGAGTGGAACATATTTTCTTTCATCCTGCTGGAGCTACATTTTCGATGTGGGCGTTCACGGACAACAGGATTTTAAGTGAAGTTGAATGATGGCATCACGTTGGGTTCATTCTTGTGAGGATGATGAGCGACAACAAGCAAGATCTTCATTCTGTGAGGTAAACGCAACACAACTCAAACCCCAGACTTTGTAAACAGACTTTTTTTTGGTGTGGGGGGCAACTGATTCTCTAGTTTCTGTGTCCTCCCTCTCTCAGTATGGTGTTGGCGGGGGAGTAATGTGTTTGACACTTTGGCCCAGCTGTTTGTGCTTGTAACAAGTGCTGTTGGATTGTTTTGCTCTTTATCTCACACTAGTGCTTCATTATTTTGTTTTTTTTGTGAGGTATAGCCGTCAGATTGATGTCACAGGTTTTCCCATGCTTCTCTTTTTTTCTTGTAAGCTGCTGGGGTTGATCATTGTAGATGACAGGTTTCAGTTACACAACAGCTTTTAATTAAATCTGAAATTTTAATCAAACTCATCACTGGATTAAGTGGGAGGAGACAATGGCATTGAAGCAGTTTATTCAAGACCCGTCCTTCAGATTTTTAAGCTGTGTAATACCAGACAGGACACCATCTGCTCCTCTGAATGAAGACCTTTATGGTAAACCAGCAACCACGTACTCTTTGAAAAAGTAGGACACCTATTTATACAATCTATAGTTTTCTTTCATTCCCAACATTTCCTTTAAGCTAATATTTAGCTATTCACTTAAGCCTCTCTGCTTATATTTGAATAGTCTGTAAATGAAGGATGTCAAGCTCCTCATGTTGTTACTTCTAACAGACTCGAACAGATCATTGGACAGAGCACAGGAGAGTGGTACTCAACAAAAAATGAAATAAATTAGCAAGTGACAGACTTTGTCTTGTGAATTTTGTTTTCACTTTATTTATATTCATGCGTGTTTCTCCAGAGCCCTGAAAAATACAGTTTTGATGTATAAACACAGTTAGAGGGATTTTTTTTAAGTTAGTGTATTCTGCGTGAGGAAAAACCTCAGTTCAGTGCAGTTAGAGAAAATCCTTCTTTTAGTAGTCCTTCTAATAAGCCTACCACACAAACCAATTCATGTGCTAATTTTGAGCCGGAATGTGGAAACCCCCTGGTGTCTCTGGTCCTGGGATTTTCTGGAAATTATGACACTGTTGATTTAATGACTTAAGAATTTTCCTAAAGTGGATGTTTTTGTTTAAAATCACTTTTTAAAACATGCAAAAAAAAAACAACCCAACTTGTGATGAACTCAGTTGACAGAGCTTGGTTTAAAAAATGTTCAATGATAAATGGGTGTGCCTGTGTTTTTTATTTAGAGAAAGAAAGCATGGCCTTGTTACTGTTGTAAACAAGCAGCAGGAAGAGGATGGGTTACTGCCTCAAATGAAGTAAAGCATAGAGAGAGGCCGCCAACAAAAAAAGCATTCAAATGAATGGAACTGAGATCTTAAAATTAAAATCATGGTGGATTTAAACTATTTATATAATTTTAATAACAAAAGAAGTTCAGTATGCCTTATCACAGAAAATAACATTTTGTGATATTTAGAAAAATATGTCTGATATATTTTTCAGAAAAACGAAAAATATGAGCAGCTGTCTGTTAGCTTGTCCCTGTTGTCTCTCAATGGGAGCTACTGTCATGCTTCTAAGTAGAGCTGCAATGATGATCGATTAGTTGTTAACTAATAATTTAATTGCCAATTATTTTGATGATCGGTTTAATTTTTTTCAAGAAAAACCTTTTCACAACCATTTTGACAATTGGTGTGGTAGATAGTGCTTATATATTGTGCTGGCGAAAACTTGATAGAGAAATAATTATTACTTTGTCTTTTGCTGGAGGTTTGATTTTTATAATTTGCTCTACAATGGAGCGTTTTTGTCTGCTTTATCAGCTGAATAGTGCATAGTATTCAGACATTTCACCTGGATCCAAATAGAAGACAGACTTGGCTTAAAATCTCTTAATTCCTCTGGTCAGAGTATACAGAGATCGTAGATTGGATGCTGATCAACCTGCTGTGTGTCTGTG